TTTTATATTTTAATCTAAATAAAACGCTTCAAACAGGATTGTCAAAGGAACTGATTGATGGTCAATAATAAATATATATCTGTGTTTACTGATTTAAATATAAATAACAGGTTAATAATCAATAAGTATGAAAATTATATTTCAATAATATAAAATAATGAACCTGAAAAAGTAAAAAAAAAATCTGTAGTGAATGAATAAGTTAGAAAGTTTCAGAGGGAATTGAAAGAAGTGTTAGATTTCTTATTTATACAATTGAATAAATCACAGCTGTAAAACTGTAGGTAAAAAAGACTATAAATTCTTAATGTCATGTATTATTTTTTCTAAATTTTGGGAAAATGAGAGAAACATTTTTGGAGGGTAGAATGATTTCTTTTCATTTAAATAACTTTATATTTCTATTGCATTTATTCTGTTAAATTTGACAAAATATTCAACATTTTATATTTAAAAATCACTTCAAAACATAACATTTCCCTAGAATATTTCTTTTTTCTTCCAATCATCAACCATTAACCCATTCAACCATCTATCCATGTCGGTTAATAGGAAGATGCTTGGAACGCTGTTTACGCCATGTTAATTATGCTATTTCTGACTGAATTTGGAGCTGTTTTCAAATTTTATATTCTAATTTTTAAATGAATTTTTTATCATGAGCATTATTGATTTAGAAAAAGCAATGGCCTACACATTTTTTATACTTTATTTTTTAAATTCACTCAGTCTACTGATTCAAATATTAATCTCTTTTGAAAACATCCTCATGGTCACACCCAGAAATAATATTTGATAAGTTATCTTGGCATTCCTTAGCTTAGTCAAACCGACATAAAATTAACTGTTACGGTGCTGAATCGCAAGTAGCAGCAGTGTAAATAATAATTTTTTCTTGTATTCACACTTTTTGTTTTTAAAAGTTACATTTTCCATGAGGAGAAAACATTAAGTAGTTCATTCTGCAGGATCTATGCAGAAAGATAGAAAAGACTTCTGTCATTCGTTTGAAGACAAATACTAGAACAGAAAAAAATGAGGAAACACAGAACATAGACCTTCATTTCTGTGTATCTTTTCTTTGGCTGAATCCAAAACAGCTAACCCCTAGTAATAGCTTGGACAAACAGATGTTCTCTTTAACTTGCACTCTCTCTTTCTGAAATTTTTGTGGAGTCTAAAAGAAATAAGGAGTTGGGGGAGAATTATTTAGAAACAAAGTCAAAGGGAACTATAAAGGTAAATACTGTATTAAACTGCGTCTGTCATAAAGGATTGCAACAAAGTTTGCAAACTCTGGAGCGATTGAGAGGCACCAGGCTTTGTGCTGAGTTCAGTCATTTCTGTCAACTATTAAATATTGTCAAGTATCTGTGCTCTTTCTTGACTCTAAATGAAGCTTCTTTCACTTCCTTTAGATTCATTTATTATGCAGTGAGACGTTATTTATTTATTTTTTTCTTGGAAGAAGTGACTAATATGCTTGCACAGGCCAGCTTTTGTGCTAACTGGGTTTATTTGTCTACATCAACAAACTTGCCATGTCGTCCTCTTGAAAAGGTAAAATCCCCTATGCATAGGTGAAGGAAGAAGACCCTTACCTGCAAAATCACTGCTTGTTACAAATGTGAACTCCATAGACTGTCTATGGCAAAGCTACTGAAAGGTTCATCGTTAAAAACTTCAACTTACATTGAGTGTAAAATAACACTGAAGAAATTTGCCAAGTTTAATTAGAAATTTGTTTTTTTAGAATTTTTTTAATTTAAAGGCTTTATTCTTTTTTTTTAATATTACACTATAAGTTCTGGGGTGCATGTCTGCACATGTAGGTTTGTTCATTGAGGTTTGTTACATAGGTACAAACATGCCTTGGTGGTTTGCTGCATCCATCCCCCTGTCATCTGTTTTCTCCTAATGTTATCCCTCTGCAGTCCCCCGACCCCCTGCTATCCCTTCCCTAGCACCCAACCTCCTGACAGGGTCCAGTGTGTGATGTTCCCCTCCCTGTGTCCATATGTTCTCATTGTTCAACACCCACTTAAGAGTGAGAACATGTGGTGTTTGGTTTTCTATTCTCGTGTCAGTTTGCTCAGAATGATGGTTTTCAGCTTCATGCATGACCCTGCAAATGACATGAACTCATCCTTAATTGGGAATTTTAAAAGAAATCCAGTCACTTCTAAATAATTACATAGGGTGTGAGTTAACTAGATACTTGGAGAATCCTCTTCTTGGCTTAAAGAGATGAGATCCTGTGACTCTGAGCTTACAACCCTTCCCTGGAGGCTGATGGCCCCTGGTTACTAAAGGGGCCAGTGCAAGTCCAAAGTGAAGTGAGGAAATGAAGGAGAATGGAAAGGGGTTTCCACGAAGATAGATTTTTTTCCCCCAATCTAACATATTTATGCTCTGCCAAATAATGCTTCCCCCCCCCCACCGCCAACACACACACCTAGTGCCCACTTCCTAGTCGCCAGAAGCTGTACTTGATTATTCCATTATCTTCCATGGCAAAGGGACTTTGCAGATGGGACTAAGTTAAAGCCATGGAGGCAGGGAATTTATCTTGGATTATTCACATGGGGTTACATGAATCCTTTAAAGTGGAGACCCTCTCCCAGTTTGGAAAGAGGATCAGAGCGTTGTGATGTGAAAAGGACTTATCCCACCCTTGCTGGCTTCCCATGGGAGAAGGTACCATCAACCATGGCATGGCAGCAGCCTCTTCAAGCTGGAAAAGGCTAGGAACAAAGTGCCTTCTAGAGCTTTCAGAATGGAATGCAGCCCTGCCAACACCTTGGTTTTAGGTAAGGGAGACTCGTGTCTGACCTATGGCCGCCAGTACTATAAGATAATAAAGTTGTGCTGCTTTAAACCACCAAGTTTATGGTAATTTGTTATGTCAGCAACAGAAAACACATACAATATTTTTATTGTTGTCATATCATGTCTTTTGACTCTTTAATTATTAAGTGTTCTATTTTTACTGTGAAATAATTAAAAATGATAGTGTATGTGAATGTGTGTGTATGTGTGTGTTTGGGGGCAGTGCTATTTCTAGCTCATTTCTTCCTTGCCAAAAGAAAATACAATTACCCTGTGTTAGTCCTCTAATCTGAATTCTCCATTTCTTCTGCCTTACATGTATCTCTTTCTCCTTTCTTCCCTTTATTCTTCTTTTTAATGTTTCAGGAATTTCATTGTTGACATATAGAATAAAGTCCCTGCTTCTTTTCCATGATGCATTCTATGTATGGCTCTTCTAATCCTGTTCCTCTTTCCATTTGCACACTCACCCCCAACTCTTTATCCTTTAATATGTTGAACCTCAAACCTTAGTGATCACAATTCCTCTGGTACATGTGAAGATGCACACACCCACTTCCCACCCTGAAACTACTGAATCAGCATCTCCCAGAGAGGGATCTGAAAATCTATGTATTTAGCAAGGCACATAGTCATTGGGGAATTATGAGAAACACCACTTTATTAGCAGCACCAAACTCAATATCCCCTGTATGTGCTATGCCCTCCCCACAACCCATTCATGCTTCTAATCAGATATCTTTCTGCTAGAATTCCCTCACTCCTCTCCTTCTTCCCATTCTGGTTTCCTCCCTGAGTTTGCCAGACCATATTCTCTTTCTAATTGATGTTATTTGATCCAAAGTCTCACTTCCTGTGAAAGAGTCCCCTAGCTGACCCTCTATCTTCAAATCATGTGAAGCATGCACATAAATGATGATGGCTGCCTTTACCATACTGTTTTGTAATCATCTGTTAGTCTGTCTGTCTTCATCAGCAAGATTGTGTCCTTGGATACAGTGATTGTGCCCTTGGATACAGTGATTGTGCCTTCCTCATTTTTCTCCTCCAAGGCCAGCAAATGCTAAAGCTGTATTAGATGCGAAGCAAGTGCTTTCAAACGGAATTAGTGAAAGAATGGTTACAGCAATGAGTTAAATACTAAAGGTATCACATTATAAGCTAATTCTCTACTTTCTCTTTTTTAAGCACCATGCTCCTTTTAGTTAATAGCCTAAGGGGACCCAATTTAGAGAGCCTGTCATAAATGTCCATGTGAGCAGGGAAATCTGGTTTGTTGTGTTTTTGAGTTAGAAAGAAAGAAGTCATGCTATGTCAACTTTGCCTTCAAAACGTATTTCACTTATTACTAAACACTTCTCAGCACTCCGTGGATAGCATGCTGGTGCAAGTGTCTATCATTTCTTTGACCTCCCAGTAGTCCTTGAATATAATAAGCACGGGGCTTTTGCCCTGGCTATTCCCTGTGTCCTAGATAGTATTTATATATGATGGTATATGTGTTATGGCTCAATTTCTCCCAGAGAGGGTTTGCCTGAGTGGCCTGTCTCAAATATTGCTCCTATCACAAGTGGTTTAATCTACCCTCCTATATTCTTTATTGTCTCTAGAGTACTTATATAGGATGTATATTATATATTTTTTCTGTATTGCTAATAAGAATGTAAGTTTCATGAAGGCAGAAATTTTGTCTGCTATATTCACTGTTCTAACCCCATGGCTTAGAATCATTCCATATATACAGCAGGTGTTCAGTACATATCTGTTGAATGTCAAATATGGGTATGGCAGAATATTCCAGTAGAACCATGCAGCCTAGACATTATATAATACAAGGTTCAGTGCATGCATACACTCATCCGACCCAGGACACACATCCATCTTAAGGTGGCATTTTAAATGCACCTTAATTTTTATTTGCAATTGCTAAGATACAAACATTTTATGAATATTTTGTTCCTGGTTTTCTTACATCTATTTCCTCAGAAAGCATGTGAGATTTTGCCTGTCTGCTGTTGTTGTTGAAGTGGTCCCCCAATTTACCGCCCAGTGCAGCCTGAGGGAACAAAGCTAGGTTTTTGTGGATGAGGGTCTTCGGTCTTGAATGCAGGTCCAGTTTAGCTTTTCCAGTTCCTATTGTGATGCTGCTGAGGGCCAATGAAAAAGAAACGAATAGTTAGAGGTGTGCCCTGAGCCACTGGAGTGGCCAGCACAGAAATCTTACTTACTTTTGCAGCAGAGCCATTTCCCTGTCCGGCCTCCTGTAGAATGTCCTCTTCGTTTTGAATTCCTGGAGTGGTGTGGGGCACCCATCTGTATGATCTGACCCTGGGAATTTTTTTTTCAACTGCATGGTAATTCTGTTATATCAAGTCTAGAATTTTTCTAGCTTCAGGCATGGTATTATCATCCTACATAGGAGTCTTTCACTTCATTTTGCTCATGCCCTGGAGGGATTTCTGAACTCTGATCCACTTTTTTCCCTTAAAGACTTTTTTTTCCTTCTAAGATCATAAATGTAGCAACTGTAGCCTTGTCTCTTATATGTTGATTTCAATTCTTTGTTTTCCCCAGTTTTTCTTTTCTGTCCTTGATGACTTGAAATTTTTTCTAATTGCAAGAATAATATGTATACATACATCCTCCAGCGACCACTGCCCTAGGCTGCATGGCTTTCTGTTTTGAGTTACGTTTTTGTTGCTCCCTGGTCAACTCTGTACATTTCATGGCCCTGATGACATGGTAGTCACTGTGTTGTAGGTATCCTGTTCATTTTCTGGGCAGGAACAGCTGTCAGACAGCACATTGGATGGCTTTTCAGAGAATCAGTCCTGCCTTTGAAATTATATTCTGAAAGCTCTTAGATGTCCATATTACATTTCTTTGCCTGAAAAGAGAATAAAAGGAAAGAAAGAATATGTTGGATATTTCAAAATGCAACAGTTCTTTCTTCCCTCACCCATCCTTTCCGTCTCCAAGTGCACTGTCCACAAGAGATACAATATGATGTGTGCTTTGAACTCATACGGCTGGAAAGAATAGAAGAGAAGCGAATGTAATCTTGCCTGAGATCATGGTTATCACACGGTGCAAGCAGGATGAGTCTGGGATGTCAGAAAATCCCAAAGTCAGTGTATGCTAATGTAAGGTGACCAACCTGACCTAGTTTCCTTGGGATTTTCCCAGTTTTAGCACAGGAATTCATGTCTTGAGAAAACCAGGATGATTCATCACCCTACAGAATCATTCAAACAGAACTCAAAATGCCTACTGTGCCCAGAATTTCCCTTAAGGTCACTCGTGGTGTGGTCAGCCAGTCCCTTAGCCTGTCCTCATCTGCATTTGTCTTTCTTATGTTTCCATAAACCTTAAGAGGTTGCCCTTGTGTTAACGATTTCACATTCATGCCTGGGCTTGGTCGTCCTGAATGTTTGACCCTCTGTTAATTTGATTTTATTCTCTGACACGACCTTGGGCTGCCATACATCCAAAATGAAAATGCTGTTTGGAGTCACAATGAAAATGGAATGTGAGAAGATTCCAGAGAAGACAAAATAACCCAGAGAAAAGAAGTACAGAAGGCAGGGGTAGCAAGTCTGAGCTGTGCCCTGCCATGGCACGCAGAGGATGCCCACAGATTTTCACAAATGCTGTTAAAATGTGAAAAGCAGGTGTTTTCTTTTTTCTTCAGTCTGAGCTTCAAGCTAATATGGGCATTCAGCTAAATACCTCCCAGGTCCGAAACAGTATGTGGTTTTGGATTTCAGAGGTAATTACTGCTGAATTCATTGTATGGCCAGTGCACCTGCCAGGTAGACATTATAAAAGCGCATGTAGGGGGCCACCAAGAGTATTTGGAGGACTATTTCTCCATCACAAAACCTCTTAGAGAGCCTATTAAGGCATCAAATGCCAGGTATGGAGTTGAACATATTCGTAATACAGTTAACAATGCAAATGAGGCAATGGTTCCAGGTCAGAGAAAATGCTGATGCTCACCTGAGAAATTTGGGCTCCATTGTATTGTGCCCATCCTGCAATTGACTCACAGTGAGTTATCCTGGAGAAAAGCAGCATATTTGCATATTTCGATCCTGGCTGGGATAAGCAAGAGAAATATATATTCTGGCTATCTGAAATGAAATTGAGAGAGAAAGAGAGGGCACATTTTGCTGAATATGTTCATTTATTCATTAAAAATACAAGTATGTAAATCTCCCAGGCCTTCACTGGGCAACTACCATTGGGAGAAAATAGAGACAAATAACAGTAATAAAAAGCCATCAACCCTGTCCTGATAAAACTTAAGGTCTGGTGGGAGAATCAGAAATAAATTGAATAATTACCCAAGTTAATGTAAAATTACAAATGTAGGAAGATTCTCAAGAAGAGGTACCAGGATTTTCTGAAAGCATAGAATAGAAGAATTTGAACCAGTTGGGGCCTCCTTGAGAAACTGAAAATTAGTCTGAGGTGGGCAGTGTTCGTTCTCACTGCCTAATCTGGGACAGCCCTGCCGACAGCTTGACCTACATTTCTTCAAGTCTCCAGAATTAATTTTGTGAGTAGACATTGTCCTTTCACACCCTCAATAATCTTATGAGAAATATGTAATAACCTTAGGAAGAATACTCCACCATTGTCAGTAACCCTAAGAGGAATGGTTCATCACCCTCAGTAACCTCAGGAGAAATATCCCATTATAATCATTAACCTAAGAACAAATATTTTATTACAGTCTAGAACACAGGCTCCCTGAACAGACTCTCTTTTGTACCTCTGTCACTATTTCCTGTACTGAAAAAGTCTAAATCACGCAAAGAGTATCAGCTCAGATATTGGCTGAATGAATTTATTTATTCCCACTATACAGATTTGAAAACTATGGCCTAGAAAGGTTAAATAGTGTGCTGAAATCCATATAGCTAGTAAGAGGCAGAGCCATGATCACGACCAAGCTCTCTGTGTCCAGAACTAAGACAGTGAGGGAGTCACTGGACTAGTGGGCACAGCAAGAGACTCGCGTGTATTCCTGCAAAGGACAAGGGTTTGCTGCCTCTCCTGTATGTCCCTAAAGAGAGACACATGCAGACGTATGTTCTTTGCAGCACTGTTTACAATAGCAAAGACCTGGAACCATCCCAAATGCCCATCAATGATAGACTGGACAAGGAAAAGGTGGCACATGTACACCGTAGAATACTATGCAGCCATAAAAAATAATGAGTTTGTGTCCTTTGTAGAGACATGGATGAATCTAGAAATCATCATTCTCAGCAAACTGAGACAGGAACAGAAAACCAAACGCTGCATGTTTTCACTCACAGGCAGGTGATGAACAATGAGAACACTTGGGCACAGGGAAGGGAACAACATTCATTGGGGTAGGTGCGGGGGTAGATGGAAGAAAAGGGACAGCATGGGAGGTGGGGAGAATGGGGAGGGGGATAACACCAGGAAGAATGCCTGATGTAGGCGACAGGGGCAGGGTGGGGGATGGAGACAGCAAATCATCATGGCATGTATGTACCTACACAACAATCCGGCAGGATGCAGAATGTGCACATGTACCCTAGAGCCCAAAGTACAATTTAAAAAAAAAAAGGAGAAGGACCCTCAATTCCTTCTTCCAGACACGTGTATTTCCCCTGAAAGCAGAACCTGGGCAGTGTCTTTCTCCTTCATGGTCAAGAGGCGCATGTTATCAGTAAATGGTAGAGAGAAGGCTGTGTTGCTTTGAGACATGGACTCCCAAGATCGCCTGTCTTGCTAATAAAAGTACAGCTAAGCCTGCCAGAGAAACCTACAGATAAGCCTCCTGCTGCAATGACTGAGGTCCCTGGCTCTGGATTGCTTGCTATGGACAATTCCTCTTGGAAAACCTTGTAAGCACCTTCTGAAAACCACACAACTCTGAGAAGCTCTCTTCCCGCAGAAGCACAAAAGCTGGAAACCTTGAGGCTTTGCCCACATGGATTAAGTAAAATGCTTTAAATGACTCTGAGGCTACTTATAAAAAACAATTTACATAAATTGATGTTCTATTCGAGGAGGGTAAAGAGGGTAGTTTTAATTTTTTTTCAAAACTTTCTTCTTAGTTTTAATAATGGCTGAAGTCTTAAAGAAGCAACTCCTTTTAATAAAACATGCTTGTAAATTTATTGAGACACATTCCAACTGACCCTATTTCGGGCGAATCTCTGGGGCCTCCCACATACAGCCATCCTGAGTGCTGAGGAGCCTCGGATTGTGAGTTGCTGGAGGAGTCCATTCTCCATGACTCATGCTTTCTGGGCTCTGAGATGCTCCAATTCATTTCAGGGTATTTAATTTCTAGAAGTATTCAAAGTTTGTCGAGGATCTAAACAGTGCTTAGAGGCTTTTACCCTGCTTTACCATGGTGAAAATTAACCCTGGAGGACTGAGGTCCTGCTAGCACGCAACAATCACACACACACACACACACACACACACACGGCAAATACTAGGCTCATGTGTGGCCTAGATAGCAAAAAGGTTAAAAATATAAAATCACTGATTATTTACTTATTTTATTGTCCTTGATTGTTTTAAACAGGTGATATGTGAATATGGTGAATATTTTAAACAGGTTAAAATTCTTTTCAAATTAGAGATACTTCTCTTTCCTCCCCTCTCATGCCACCCAGTTTTCCATTTACCCTCCAAAAAGATAGCAATATGTGAACTTCTAGATTCTTCCAGAGATGAGTGTTGTTCATTTAAACATTTATTTTCCATCCTCTAACATATACTTTTATACATGAATAGTAGCATGTGGACAGTATTTATGCATCTTGATTTTTACTTAATAAATCTTTGAGATATCCACTTCAATAATAATAACAACAGCAGCAAACACACCCATATAGAGTATGTGTCTGAACCTGGCACTTTTCTAAATTCTTTTCAGATGATCCCTACATCTTCTGGGAGAGATGCAAGTATCAGCCAGTTGGAGACACAGGGAAAGGGTGGTATAATGCGGAAGTGACTTGATCAAAGTTACACTGAAGGCAGCGGAGTGCGATTCGAACCCAAGCAGTCTAGACTCTGTGCCCCACACAACTCTGCAGCATTACCTCGCAGTATGAAAATGATGCCTCTCATGCAGGTATGTCTTACTCTTTTTAAGAGCTGCATAACATTCCTTTGTGTGGATATAGTATACTGATTTATTTTATTCACTGTGAATAATATCTTAGAATTCATCCTACAGTTTGCCATTGAGTGCAATGTTTCAATTTTTGAATATTTCATCACGTTTTTGAACCCATAGTTACTGCACGTATTTGTAAAATAAATTAATCAATTTATAGTAGTAGATTTATAGGCTTTTAAAGCACCAAATGCTTATTCTCTTCTGACTAGTAGGGAGATATGAATAGGACTTACTGAAACAAGATATTTAATGCATCTCTTTTCTTACAGTCAAACCAAAGTGGCTCCATCAAAGTGCAGGTGCTCACTAAATATTTGTTAAAGAAATAGAAAAAGCTGCCATTTAAAGATATTATCACAATGCATAAAATATGTTGATTCATAAGATCTCATTAACTTCATGCAATCAAAGCAAATATCATCCTCATTTTATAGATCAGGGATATAAGATCCAGTGACTTACCCAAAGTTTCAAATGAAAGATGTCACAGAGCCATCTCTGAACTTCTGCTCTTTAGAATCTAAATCTACACAGTTTTCACTAATTGTGACCTTAGCAGGTTGTTGACCCAGGACTTGACCAACTTGGTTTCCATTTGTATAAAATTAATACCACTTTTCAAGAGAAATATTACATACCATAATCAATAAAAATGAAATATCAAAGATGTGTTATGTGGAAGACACTGAGATAAACACTTGGCATTGCATTACCTCAACACTGTGGGCAACCATCCTAGGAGCCTCATAGAATTACTGCTGCCACTTTGCAGATTAGAAAGAGAAAATTGATGCTAAGCGAAGTTTAGTAACTTGACCAATATCACAACTAGTAAGTGAAGAGGAAGACTTAGCTCTGCTTCTGAGGTCTCCAAATCCCAAAGCCTTATGCCCTACTTTTGTACTGGAAGTTAAAATAAATATCATGATGAGTACCTTTTGAAAACCTTAAAGATGCTGGGAATTGGTTGGCTGAATGCATTTGTATTTCCTAAGGCTTTTCTGTCCTTTATTTTCAAGAGCCTTCAATGTACCTCTTGGGGAATGTGTCTCAGTTCGTATTATAATGAGAACTATCATATAGCAAATTTTCAGCTGCTTAATAAATAACTACATGTTTTTGAAAAAAATGACAAACTCACCAGAATTGGCCTTTACTTAATAATCACAAACACTATAAGCTTATGAATATTTCATGCTCACTCCTTTCTGCTGAGAGTATGAGCATCCTACATTTCTATAGCTCCAGATTATGCAAGGAGCAATGGAAAGCATATGTTTTGTGTGTTTTCTTTAACAATTTGATGATGGAAGAACACCTGGCAGTGTTGGAGATAATGTAAGAAATGGTCGCCTTTTGTTATTTGAGTGCTTGAAATAAAAATCTCAAATGGCAAGTTGTAATCCAAACCACAGTAATTATAGAAGATGGCATAAAAAGGTATACATTTTAAATTCATAAATCTAAATGAGTCTATCTCCAAGTAAGTAAACTTTATTCAATTTTCCATAGCAAATACCCCATCAACACTATCACCCAAAACACTGATCACATTGTACTGCTCAAATGTTGGAAAGTTTCAGTTTTGAGTTCAATGGTTTCTTTCTTTGTTCCTTTTCTTCTTCCTTCAATCAATGAATGTTAGAGTTGTTTCTCTGTGATCTCAAGAAATACACAGTTCAATGAATGTGAGGAGTAAGAAACCTGAATGAAGGTTGGGAACACAGAAAAGGCTTCCTCCAAAAGGGAATGTTTCAATCTGGATGAAGGGATCAGTAGGAGTTTACCAGGCAGAAGGGTAGAACTCAGAGGAGGTTACAGGCATTGGAATAACCCACAGAAAGAAGCAGGTAGTTCCAAAAAATCGGAGGGAAGACGGAGTGGCGATAGCACAGTGACAAGGAAAATGGCGCCACGAGGCGGGCAGAGGCAGATGATGCAGAGCCTTGTAAAGCGTGATAAAGAGTTTGAACATTCGCCCAACAACAGTCAGAAGCCACTGAAGAGTGTGAGGCTAGTGAGAGACAGAATCTGACTCAGGATTGTAAAGATTATTCTGGCTGAGGGGAGACAGGAAGAGGAAGGGAGAGAGATAACTTAGGACATAAGTACAGTAATTCAGATAAAATATTATGTTGGCCTGAAGACCTGGTCTACAAAAGTGACAGTGAGCTGGAAAGAGGTGGGTGGACTAGAGAGATATAATGAAAATGAAATATACAGACGAGAGTGATTGATCAGGTGTTGGCAGTGAAAGAGGAAGATGTCGAGACTGACTTAGAGATGCACGACTTGACAAGCTCCACACATGAAGATCTGTTTTAAACTTTATGACATATTTCAAAATTCTCTATTTTCTCTCCTGGGAATATTTAGCAAAAAGAAAAAAGCCTGTAGACCATTTATCAAATTGTGCTTAATAAAGCCAAGACATGTGTCCACCTCTTCAGGGTGAGAAACGCCCTCTGTGTTCATTTTACTGCTCTATTTTCGGTGCCTGCTGTAGCATAGGGAGGCATGGAGTAGGAGTCCAATTTTGAGTCTATACTAGCAGATGAGATATGTTCCTAGCTGGGTTATAAGAATCTTGAGGAGGAAGGCTTCCCTGTCTTTAAGTCTTCATCTTTTTCTGCCCTTCTTTATTTCCTCCTAAACTTTTTCCGAAGTTACTTATTTGTGAGTTATTTTACAGAGTTAAACAAATTGACACTAAAGTTCATAAGGGAAAATAAATATTAGGAATAACCAGAAAAAAAAACCAGAAAAGAAAGGTGTTCTTTCTTTCCTGAAAGAGAGTAGCTCTAGAGTAGGACTCTAGGTGGAGTAGCCTTAGAAGACATTGAAACATACTGTAAAGCCACTATATTTAAATCAGCATGGTTCAGGTACATTAATTGACTAAAAGACCAGTGGAATATAAAAGAAGGCCCATGAATAGTCCCAAGTACCGATGCAAATTTATTATATAATAAAGGTAGCATCTCAAAGCATTGAGGTAAAGAAGAAACTTTTAATAAATGATGTTGGGGCAACTGGATAGCCACTTGAGAAAAAGTAAAATTAGGTTCATATTTCACACTATATACAAGAATAAACTCCAAATAGAATCCAATTATTTTAAAGTGAGACTATACAAGTACTAGAATAAAACAAAACCAAACTCTACTTTAACCATGGTGCAGAGAAAGGCTTTGTAATTTTGACTGCACATACAAAGACAATACAGGAAAAGATGGATACATTTTACTAATGAAAAAGAATAACTACATAAAAATGCAAACAAAACAAAACTGAGGTCAAAAGACAACTGAAAACTGGGGGAAAATATGTACAACATATAGTACAATCAAAGCACTAATACAGACAAAGCACATATATAGAATATATATATATATATGAAGAATTCTTAAAATTTAAGGTGCAAAGAGAATTAAAAAGCTGATTTTTAAAACATGAGGGATGACAGGAACAATTATACAAACACACAAAGATACAAAAATGTTCCTGAAACATATGAAGGACCAATCACTCATAGTTTGAGAAATGTAAATAAAAATTCTGACATACAATTTATCACCTATCAGACTGGCAAAAATTAAACTGTGTGTCAATATACTCTGTTGCCAAGGCTATGCGGAGACAAGAATTGTCACACTTTGCTGATGGGAATGCCTACCGGTGCAACCCCTCAAGAGAAGAATTTGGCAAAATCTAACAAAACTACATGTGTCTGCAACTTTTGCATTGCATTTCCCCTTCTGAAAATCTACCCTGAAGGTGCATTCCCAGCAATATGAAAACACATATACACTGGGTTATTCAGTCTTGTTCATAATTGCAAAAATTTGGAAACAACCTAAATGCCCATCCATAGGAGAGCATTTGAATAAACAATGGCACATCCACAAAGTGGAGTATTGTGCAGCAGTAAGAAGAATGAGGCAGAGTTCTACCAACTGGCTTGGAGTAATTTCCAGAATATACTGTCAGGTGAAAACAGCAAAATTCAGAAAAGTATCTATTCTCCTTCATGTAGAAAAAAAAAGGGGCTATAAGAAAATATACATTCATCTGCTCATGTGTGCAAAAGAAATGCAGGCTGGATAAATAAGAACTTAGATAGATTGGTTATCTCCATGGGGTGTGTGGGAAAACGATGGAAAAGCAAATGAGAACAGGGTAGGAGGAATATGGGGAGGAGGCACTTCTCTAAGCATAACTTATGATATTGTTTTGACTCCTAGAATCTTGATCATGAAAAAAACACACACAAATAAACACATAAGCAAAAAAATGTAACTAAACATACAAGAAAAACCAAGAGGATATGACAGGAACCAAGCACAGAATACAAATAGGAATAAAGGAAAGTAACTGTCTGACAAATGAATATCACCTCATTGAAGGGGGAGGAAGAAAATAAGTCACTGAAGTAATGTTAGAAAACAGAACTGTGACTGGCTGTCATAAGGCTTAAGGCAAAAAGAAATGTTGAAACATGCTGGGCTTTAGCTTGTAAATGTTTCTCACAAAAGTATGAGTAAGCAATTCAGAAATACTGTTATGTATGTACTAGGATTTAGTAAATAAGTAAATAGATTGTAGATAATGAGAACCAAGTTTCTCACTAATAAAGAAAGAATTTACGAATTAAGAGGGAAAGGAAAGAAAGAAGACAGAACTAGAAATACCTTCAGAATTTCAACATCATCACTCTCTGAAGGACGATTTTTCTATCATTTTCTAATAACAATATCATACGTAGGCATACAATGAGTACATTTATTGAAAAAAAAATTGGACCTGATATTATTAAGAAATAAAAACATCTTAGGATGATGAAAATTCTTTTTTTTTTTTTTTGAGACGGAGTTTCACTCTTGTTACCCAGGCTGGAGTGCAATGGCGCGATCTCGGCTCACCGCAACCTCCGCCTCCTGGGTTCAGGCAATTCTCCTGCCTCAGCCTCCTGAGTAGCTGGGATTACAGGCACGTGCCACCATGCCCAGCTAATTTTTTGTATCTTTAGTAGAGACGGGGTTTCACCATGTTGACCAGGATGGTCTCGACCTTATGACCTCGTGATCCACCCGCCTCGGCCTCCCAAAGTGTTGGGATTACAGGCTTGAACCACGGCGTCTGGCCTGAAAATTCTTAAAAAAGAGTTACAGAATTAAATTAAAGAAGTGTTTCCCCGCAGCAGTTGGCACGATAGAACACAAGGGTAAACACGTTTTTTTCTGTAGGGACAGCAAGTAAATATTTCAAGCTTTATGAACCAAAAGGCAAAATCAAAGCTATTATTAGGTACTTTTATCAAAACAGATATAACAGATTTGGGCCAAAAAAATTGAGAAAATATGAAAATATGAATTTTGTCATTAAACTTATTAAGGTATTAAAGCAAAATTTTTATAATATACACCTAATAATTACAGAAATATAATTTTTTGGGGGGGATAACATTTTGCTTAATTAGGTTCAAAGTTACTGTTCCCTATCATATCAATTGCATGTGTTCATGTGGGTGATCCCTTCTTAGTTCATCAAAAATAGGGGGCAAGTGGGATTTTTGCCCGGGTGCCATAGCTTGTTGACCCCTTATCTGATCCATACCTACCACTGATCTGACCCATGCCTACCCCATTAAAACTTATCATATTGGGCCATGTGTAGTGGCTCACACCTGTAAGCATAGCACTTTAGGAAGCTGAGACAGGCAGACGGCTTAAGCCTAGGAGTCTGAGACCAGCCTGGGCAACATAGAAAGTCCGACCCTGTATCTTAAAAAAAAAAAAAAAACAGGTATGGTGGCACATGCCTGTGGTCTCAGCTACTCAGGAGGCACTCCAGTCTGAGTAGTAAGAGAGGCCCTGTCTCAAAAACAAAAAAGCCTCTCAGATCACATGCTGATGAATAACTGCTTCTGAGAATAGAAAGTTTCCTATTCTATAAATAAAACCCACTCTAACACGGAAAACCCACTGGTTAGTGGTGATGGTAAAACACAAGTGACTTAGTATAAAAACTTAGTACACATGACGAAATGAAAAA